ACAGGTTCTGTTGGCCTCCTAGAGTAGCCTTCAATGGGGTAACTGGCTGTATTCCACTAAGAACCTGAGGTTTAGAGAGACCCAACGAGAAGTGGAAACTGGAGCTCCTCTGACAGGTGGTGTCAAGTGTCCTCTAAGCCACCAGACTCCAATGGCAAAAAGAAGAATGATCAAAGTCCAAGCGCTACCCACATCTTACATTTCCTGGAGGCCAATGCCAGACTGGACTAATCAATTCTCAGATTAGGGGACCACAGGAATTACACTTGAAAGAGGGGAAGAAGAGCTTAGATGTATCTTGGATGTATCCAACATCTTTGAACTTCAAAACCTCTGGTGAGAACAAATCTGACGTTTCAGATCTTCAAGAGAGAGGGGAAGGTTTACAAAGAAAATTCTGGGCATCATCACTGGGGTCCCAAAGAAGGAGGGAGGAGCTACGTAAAACAGTTGTGGCGAGCTGCCAGCCTCTGCTGAGTGAGCTGCCTTCAAAGACTTGCTCCAGACAGTTCATGACTCCACCTCTGCCCTGCAGCTTCCCCAGGATCACAAGGCTGGTCCCCACAGACAGGCAGCACCTTCGTTATCTGTAAAAGCTCTGCTGGCCTTGGAGTAATGAGTGGCCTGCTCTCTTTACAGGTAAGCCACTTTGCAGAGGAAAAAAAAATGGGAGAATTCAATCTAGAGAAGTAAAGGCCATTGAGAGATTATCTAGGACTCAGTCCCATATTTACAAACACCAGCTCTATCAGAGGCTCAGGGGCACAGAGGTTCATGGGGGAGAAGACAGGATGGAGAGAAGAGCAAGCACCTGCTGCTCTGGGTCCTCCAACCCTATGGGCTCATGTTTCCTCCCAGAAGCCTTTTTCTTTCTTTTTACTCTTTGTTTGTCATGCTAGGAATTGAATCTGGGGCCTCAATCACACCAGACAAGTACTCTCCCCTGAAGACATCTAACACTTACCATCAGAATCCACAGTTAGGGCTTCTCTGTCACTCTAATCTGGGCCCCAGGACCGACACTCAATATCCTACCAATACTTTACAAGTTACCTGAGTCTACTCATTAGATGTTGTGGGGAGCTGCATTTATGGAACACTAAATGTTTTACAAATATATGTTTAGAAAGGCTCTGTCCACATTATCCCTTATGAACTCCCAGCCTGGTCCACTCCAGGTCACCACAGAAGCATATCATAGTATGGAATATATGTGAGACATATTGTTGCCCTCTTCTGGAGCAATGCTCTCCTACCTCCTCCATGCACTGTGAGACCAAAATAGGAAAAATACACCTTGCAGCTTAAGGGTTCTGTCTGCGGTTAAGACAGTTAATCAGTTCCTGGTTGTCCTACATTAAGCCCTTGCAAGCTAAAATATATCCCCTTACCCTTGCTCCTTCCCTTTCCTTATATCTTTCTAACAATGTATAACAATGACTCATTTGCCCCTGTAAACATATTATCTCTCCTATTGCCAGGTTCTCTGGCAGAAAGGGGGGCAGGCAGAGCCGGACTCTCCCTGGGGCTGAACAGGATGGTGAGTGTAGAACCGCCCAGCCCTTCCCCGGCTACCTGGGAGAAACACACCC